TGTTCTGCACCCATAATAACTTGTTAAAAGAATTGCTTTTAATTTTTGTTTGAAAATTTTATGGCTGTCCAATTTTGCCTTATGATTAAGATATTTATGCAATTAAAAAAAAAAAAATTGAAAATTAATGTATAAAATTAATCTGTACTTTTATAACCAAGTCATGGGATTTTTTGATAGTTTATTTTAAGTTTTAATAAAGGTTCTATTAGTGAAAATAATATATAAATATCCAACCCTCAGAATTGGTGTCACCATTCAGCAATGCTGACCTAACTGCCGACCTAAAAGTGTTTGAGTGTATGATATAAAAGATATGCAAGATGTAAAAACATCTTGTATGCAAGATGTTTTAGTGCTTTTGCATATAGCGCGAAAATGATTTGCTTTTCCACAATTCCCTCAAGTCTCTCCGTATGCAGGGTATTGTCTTTGTCCCATAGGATGTGGGTTTCTGCCACATCCTCTACAATATATTTTGACTGTTCTTTTCAAAATTTGATATTTTGGGATTGGTAGAGGATGTAGCGGTTTTTGCTTTCTGTTTTCATAATCTAATTTTATTAGGGCCATCCTGTTGTTATCCGTTGTATTTCTGAAAAAGATGGATGCTTTCTCGGTTGATTCCATTACTAATAAGCGTTCGATAAGTATTTCTAATGTAGCTAATGAATTTATTTCCAATAGAATTCTGTTTTGTTGCGTTGAGTTGCTTATTCCAGCTATTAGTTGTGGTTTTATCATATCCGATGAGTAATTGGATGTACATTGATAAGGCAAACAACCACATTTTCTTTTAAAATTGCATATCATGGCTTGTGATTTAATTCTGCCAATAAAATTGTGAATGTTTTCCTGTCAGATTGTTTCAGACAGAAAAATTGCTGTCTAGATCTTTTTCATTACAGTTGTGTAAATTTTCTGGACCGACAAAATTAAATAGCATCTTGTTTATTGATGTGCTACATGCCAGCCGTAATTCATTATATATTTTTCTTGGTTCCATAATTTTTTGTAGCTTTTTTATATCTCGTCCAGGAATCAAGAAAAATTAACCATTTATTGCCAGACATGTCTGCTTCTATGGATGGTCGATTGGCTTTAAGTGGTTGTGCTATATAGTTCTGTGATGCTATCAATTTTTTCATTAATTTAGTCATTTGTACTTGCATGAATGTTTGGTGTTTTTGCATATCTAATATCATTGTTTGAAACAACGATAAGTTGTGATGATTGTTTTCAATTTCATCTTGGTCATATTCAGGTTTTATTTCTGATATAGGAGTTGCCATCTTTTCTTTTTTTTTTTTACTCAGTTTGTTGACTTTTGATTTTGACTTTGTTTTCCAGTGTTTGATTTGCACAGTTTAATGTTTTATTTAATGTTATTTATTATTATATATAATAATCCTACTCATAGCGTCATGTAAAATAACAAAGTTCTTTGTTCAATATTATTTGCTTCATAACTTACAAAACGTAAACGCGTATTATAAAAGTCCTTAATAGTTATTAGTATAATGACATA